AGGTAGTATAGCAGATGTCGATCTGGGTGGCCTTCAATAAGAAGCAGCATGAGGTTATAGATTGGTGTGATTGTGGTGGTGGTGCAGGACCAAAGACGTCAGAGGGTTTAAATAGGCAATCTTTTAATTAGGTTACAGGTATAGCATATAGTGTAGAACCTTCGGGCAGACTACTTAAATTAGGCAACCAAAAGTTGCATATGTGGCTATATATACTCTCACTAATCAGAAATGTACTACTAAATATACCTAATAAAAATCCACACTTCCACGATATTGCGAAGGTTAATATAAAAAGTTAATAATAACAATAATATCTAATAAATACTATAACGTGGCTAATAGCAATAATGATACTATAACTAATAGAAATAACAATTTGATTAATAAAAAATCTTCAATTTTACCAAACAAATCTACTAATATATTAAATTTACTAAACTTAAAAAAAATTAAGTTAGTTTCTATTATCAAACATTTAAAATAAAGTTGAATTTAGTTATATTATCAGCATTATAAACCTATATTACCTTATCCCTTAAACTATCCAGCAGGCAAATTTGCCTGCTAGAATTTTTTTAACAAGTTTTTTAAATTTACTAAAATTTTATTAAGGATATGTACCCCTCTTATTAAGCTAAAATAAAAATTTGACATATTGTTAATTAATATCTATTAAAATTTTAATTATATATATATTTTAAATAAAAGAAAATTTGTCTAAATATAGGCAATTCTTTAATTTTACTATAAAATTTTTTCAAAAATTTTTAAAAGTTTTCAAATTTTTATATGTTTCTGAAGAGAAAAAAACTTTTCTCTACTAATCAAAGTTGAAATTTTAATTATAAAATTATAAAAACTTTTATAACAAAAGTTGTTTATAATAATTTGTATTAAAATTATAGGGTATATATTCTTAGAATTTTAAAAAGTTTGTCAATGATCAAAAATAAAGTTTCCAAAAATCAAAAATTTTTAAAATTTTTAAATTTTTTTAGCTTAAGACAACTTAAAATTTTTTTTATACAAATATAAAAATTAAATTTATTAAAATATAATCTATATTAATAGTTAATATTTAAAAAAAAAATTTTAAAATAACTTAATTTTAATAAAAATAAATTAGAAGCAAATTTTATAAATCACTTAAAAATTCTAGCAGTCAAATTTGCCTGCTAAAACTGATGGTTTAAAAGATAAAACAATTGTAAAATGTTTTTTTTTTTTATATTTAAAGTGAGGTTAAACCTCTAATCTTTATTAATTTTTAAGTATTATATATTTTTATGTGCCTATTCTCAAACTAATTTCAGATATGAGACTCAGACTACTTTATCTATGATCTAAACCTATTATAGTATTTTGTATCCCACCTATGTTTTTACTTGGTTTTTGTGCTTCACAACTAATTAATTCTAGTTACCCAACTGTATTTCCCCCATGACTCACAATCAAACCTCAGTAATTCCCAATTTGGTTCACTTAGATTATCGGTCCCTAAAGGCCTCTCAAATTGATATGCCTGTAGTAGAGATGAAACTCTTAATTACAAACTCTTTACATTTACCTTTCTACTGGTTCTTATCCATATCCACAGATCTTAATATTCTTTTTTTGATATTTTATATACTGTATACTTTTTTCTATCTCTTATATACTCCCTTTTATGGTATTCATTAAGAACTTGTTTGAGATATATCTCTTCTAATCATAGACCTTTGTTATATATATTGTGTAACTTTCAGCTTGGAGTATCTCAACTCTGGTTGGTGTGGTATTTATACTGGTGAATTCTTAACCCTTTTTGTCATAGACTTCCATATAGGTGTGACTAGAGCCCATTTTGGTTTCTTTAGTTATATAGAGACAGATTATACTCTTTATGCTAAGTAGGGTACGGCATGGGCCGGGCCGGGCTGGGCTTGTTCAAATTAAAACCAGGCTCAGAAAATATTATTGAGCTCAAGCCCGGCCCAGAAAAAAAAAAAAGCCCGGATAATGGGCCGGGCCGGGTTTTGTTAAAAATTAGACCCAGCCCATTGGGCTTCTAATAAGTCTATCATCTATAAAATAGATTAGAAAAATTATCTGTTCAAGGAAAGATTTTTGATTTATTGTTATTTAGATGCTTGATTTAATTCTCCAAATCAATAGCTGTATTTACAAAGATTATTAATTTGACGTAAACACAACATATAAATAAAAGTCAAAACTTTAATCATAATAAAAATCTTAAAAAAGTCAAACGTTGGTTTTTTAGTTCATTCTCTATATGGAAGCACATAGGCCGAGCATAAAATTTTATTTATACTTTTTAATTTAAATATATATAATATTTGATGAGCCTATAATTGTAAAGTTGTGGATTTTTTTGACCCACCCAGCTCTGTTAAACAAGTTTTTTTAGGTTGTAAAATGATATTGAAGAAATTATATAATAAAAACATAATTTAAAAGTACCAAAAAAAAACAAATGCTTAGATTGAATCATTATTAAATTTGTATCAGACTCAAAATTGTATTGACATTTGTAGTACCAACATCAAAGCTTTGTTTTCATAGTGCTTTAGTGCTAACAATAAGAGAAAAAAATAGAATATTTTAAAAATTTTGTGATCATACAATGAAATAGGAGTGTTTAATGACAAATATAATTTTTCAAATAAATACATCACCTATTACAAAATTAGATCTCGCGTTTTCATAGTGGTTATTCAACATTCATAGTTGCTTCAGATCTCTTAATACATATTTTGATACATTTAAATGGTAAGATTATCTCTTTTTATGATTTTAAATCAAGAACAGATGGCGAACTTAAATTATATATTTTTATACCCCAATTTTATTTAATTTAGTGTAATTCTAAAAACATGAATAATTAGTATCCGCAATATATTAAAATTAAAATGCTTCAATTGTAAATTATATCCTTAACTGGTTTTTTTTTCTTAATGAAAATATAGTAGTTTTTTTTTTTTTTTTAACATAGATACAACTTTCATATATGTTGAAAGTTAACTCCAGAATTACAATATATAGATTTTTTTTTTTTTTTAAAAAAAAAAAAAATCTTGATAAAAGCTAAATTTAGTATATTAATAAATTTCCCATTTCAAAAAAGAGAAAAAAAATTTCATATTCAATACATCAATGCTAAAAGTAAATAATCACATCTAAAAAATATATCTTCCAAGACCATTTACTATAATAATTACTTTAGATTGGTTCGATTTACAGAGTTTTCAAGTGCTCTATTTAGTAAACAGATACATTAGTCAAGAATTTCTTGCATTTAGTAAAATAGACAGATCACTTACTATAGTTTAGTGCAAATACATGAGAATAAAGCAGAGAATTAATCTGTTGTTTAAATAATAAATTTTTATAACAAAAAAAGCCAGTTTTAAAAATACAATATACAACCTTTACACCATCCATCCTTGTTCCTTCACATCTTTCAGCCAATCTTGGCAGCAGATTAACTTTTCAATAATTTCTGGTATAAGATTCGATCGATAATCGTCGATAATTCTACCGGCTGCACTAAATGCCTAAATAAATAATTAATAAGTTAACTTATGCTGATAAACTAATTACAGCTGTTATCATTATTCTTGGGACACCTTATGAAAAATTAACCAAATGATTATTCTGCCGATTCAATAAATTATTGATTTCAGCATGATCAATGTAATGTTTATTATTTACGAAGATAGTCTAAAGCTTGGTATATACGAAAGTTCTAATCGATTTGAAATTAAATTCACGTGAAACTACAAAGCTTCAAATGATCTCTACTTTCACATCCTAATTAAAAAGTTCTATTTCAAATTGTAACTCATACAAAGATCAGTTTGGCTTTCTTCCATTAAAGTCTTAAGATATTTTGTATTATTCAGGTTTAATAGATGTGATTTTCTTACAAGCGGCAGAAGTCTTTCAACGCATCCATATCTTTGAAATTGGTAGAAAACTCGACTTATTGAAGATCTGCTAACACACCAGTTGTTCGAATTTATAACTCTTCTAAATTTTCTTCGACTACTTTCTAGTGAATATGCTTCTAAAGTATAATATGTAACTAGAATTATATCGATATTGATTATCTGATCATTATCGATTAATAATTGTCACTGCTGCATTATAGATAGAGGTCATTTAAAGCCTTACAAATCGATTAGCATCTATGTACGTACATACCTGGCTTTAGACCATCTTTGTAAATAATAAACGTTACATTGACCATACTGAAATCAATAACTTATTGAATCGGCAGAATAATTATTTAGTTAATTTTTCACAAGGTGTCCCAGGAATAATGATAACAGCTGTAATATGAGTTAACTATGCTAGTAAACTAATTTTAGTAGAATTCTACTTGCCGCTTCAGATGCTACTGAAGTAATAAGGATGGCAAAAATGTCTCTGGCCATTGATGCCACAGAAGGATACTTTGACGCATTTTTCTTCCACCATACTAGAACATCAAATGGACTGGAAGAAGAACGAGGAAAAAGTGGATCAGCAAGGTATAGTTCGAACTCATCCATTTCATTTGCTATATTAACTTGGTTTGCTGCAAGATAACGATCAAATTCTTGCATTAACTTGTCTTCTTGTGAACCCAAATTAGAATGACTGTGATTATTGTATGTGACTGTATTTTGAATATATGTTGATCTATAAATCATCGTAGCTCTGTTTAAAAGTAAAATATTGTTAAATTTCAATGAAAAAAATCATAAATAATGACATCTTCTGATGATTACATTATGATATTTGAAAAAATAATAATAAAGGGAAATTCTATTTTCACCCAGGTGAAAATAGAATTTCCCTAATAAAAATAAAGGAAGCCTTATATTTAGAGATGTAAAAACTATTATGGCTTATATAGTTATGGTATAAGCTTTTGCCAAATTATTATAATCAAAAGCACTATACTAGACTAAATTACCTTCTTTTAATAAAATTTAACTTTTCCTCAGCTTCAGAGTATGATAAGTGCAATTTATGTTTATATATATGAGTTAATAGGGACATTTTATAGCGAAGATCCAGCATCGATGCAATACAAATCGTATTTCCTATATCTGACCAGTACTTATCAAATTTGGTTTGCATTGGTGTAATCATCTGACAAATAAAAGGCTCAATATTAGTAGTATTTTGTTCAAGATGTAATTTAATTTTTACCAAATGGGGAAGAAAAATATTCGCTGTCGGGTACATGCTTCCTGATATAATATTTGTTACTATATTAAAAAAAAATAACTAATTAATATTTGTTTTTATTAAAGATAATTTCTATTCATATGCTATGTATGAAAACACGAGTACAGAATTCTACTTATAAAATCACCCCTTGGGTTTTAACAAAAATAATCTACTGGTATGCAAAATTTTTCTTTATTACAGTGCTTTTCAAGTTACTGTGATCATCAGATGATCATCTATCACACGGAAATCGATTAAATTCATTATTTTTTAAAAAATTTTATCTAAAAAGTTAGAATTCCAAAAATTTCTTGTCAAATTCCGATTTTTTTATATATCATCCATTAGTGTACTATATCTTGAAGTGGTCGGATCAAAAAATACTAAAATTTTTTGGTTTTCTTTACTAAATTTTCTCAAACTTCAAGTGAATCTATCTTAACAATGGCTGGTTATTTTCGATATTTAATATTATCCTAATTCCCAGATTTCTCATGATGTGTGATGCATGAATTTTGCTGATCATAGTAATTTGAAAAGCACTGTAAATATATTATAAATTAATCATTACCTTCATAAAACGGCTCCAAAAAATTACAAATGCACTTAGCCCTTTTCCAATCCTCATCAGAAGGCATAATATCATCAAAATTAATGTCTCGTAATACAAGACGTTCAAAAACACTTTTATATGAAATGGTGGATTTTAACATTAGATAGATAGAATTCCATCTTGTAAGTACATCGAGAGTTGGTCGTTGACTTGATACAAGCCTAGCACAGCATCCAATTACCGCATCCTCAAAATTTTGTAGCCTAGATTGTGAACTATGAACCTACTTCGCACATTCTCAGATTTTGCTTATAATGCTTCTAACCATTTTAAGACCATCATTAACGACAAGATTTAATATATGAGCACAGCACCATTAGTGCAATAAACTTCTATTAGCAATCAGCATATTTTCATCCTCAAGCTTGTGCTTTATATTAGCAATTACGACACTATTACTGGTTGCATTGTCCATAGTGATTGCTAATATCTTTGATGCAACGTTCTAATCATTAAAACATTTAAAAAGCATTTCACTAATAACAACCCCCGTATGTGGTGTAGGAACTATTCTAAAAGCCATAATCAGTTTTTGGAGTTTCCAGTTTGCATCAATAAAATAACAGGTGACGACCATATATCCAAGGGTCTGGTTCGATATCCACATGTCAGTTGTGTAGCTTAAATGTTCAGGGGCATCATTTACTATTGTATAAGCCTCTTCTTTAAGTTTTTCAGCAAAATCTACACAATCTCTATATACTGTTTTTTCACTTACTATTTTATACTTTGGTTGTAAACCATTAACAAACTTTATAAATCCTTCGTGCTCAACCATACGGAATGGGTATGAATGCCTAATAATCATTTCAGTCATGTCTTGTCGACTTTTTTCTTGAGAAAATTTATAATTTACAAGACCTGCTGCAGATAATTGTAATGTTTGTTGTGATTCATTAACCTTTAAATGTTTTTTACAATTTGTGTTTCTCAAATGACGAATTAATGAGCTAGTTCTAGTCGTATTATCATGCTTCAAACCATTTCCACAGTATGTATACTTAGCATAATGTTCTAACAAATTACAGTAGAATACATTAACTAGTTCACAAAATTAAAAATTATAACATTGTAAAGTAATTATTTTACCTCGTTGAGGATTATGCTTAAAATGACCTTCTCTAAAAACCCAAGATTCTGTATTATTTTTTTTACGTTTTTTATTAACTACAGTTGCTTTAGGACTTTCATTTGTAGCAGCTGTTTCAGGACTTTCATTTGTAGCAGCTGTTTCAGGACTTTCATTTGTAGCAGCTGTTTTGGGACTTTCATTTGTATTGGCCACTTCAGGATCTTTGTTAGTAGTGGTTGCTTTAACGGTCTCATTACTTGCAATTATTTCAGGGCTCTCGCTTTCACTCATAGCAGAATGAATACTTTGTATTTCTAGTAATATTATGATAAGTTAGTATGTCTAATTTAGAATAGACGATACATATCAAATGATGCCAACATACCGTAGTCCATCCTCTATAATACAGTTTAAACAGACTATATATTTTTTAACACTTTTAAGATATGTAACCTAAGCCCGGTTATTAAATATTTTAAGTTTAAAAAAACATGGATTCTCTAATAAACTCTCTTTAACTCTCTTTAACTGTGTACCTTTAGTTTTGATTTTTGCACTTACAATTACTTTATAAAGACATCTATAAATACTTTTATCTATCTTAAGAATGCATTTAAAGATTTTCTTTTATTTTACTTACCTAAATTTTTTTTTTTTTTTACATACGTACGTACGTACGTACGTTCTTCCGGTATATACTCTTTTACCAAACAGACTTTTACTTTTTGACAGCGTGCTTAATTTAAACCTTATCTATTGTTATTTGTGTTACTTGATGCCTTTTATACATACATCTGCAGGTTGATTAAACAAAAAAAAGCAAAGAATACGAAGTTGCGGGTTTACTACATAGTTTTCTCCTATCAGAGTACTAAAAAATTGATTAATACGTAGTACAGATACTCTGATATGTGAATAATTAGTAGAACCAATCAGAATTGATAGAGGAATTAGAAATTGCTATCTAAATCAAGTGCGAAAATAGGTACTTTTATCAATTTTATAAATATTATTAATTAATTATTGGGCCCATTGGGCCTAACCAGGTATTTTCATAAAGCCCAAACCCAGCCCAGTGTTTTTGTAGGCCCAACTCAAGCCCGGCCTATAAGATAATGAGCTCAAAAATATAGGCCCAAACTAGGCCCAAGCCTGGCCCGACCCAAAAATTTCTGGGTTAGCCTGGCCCATGCCGTACCCTAATGCTAAGTAACTTTCCTAAATTAGTTGTTCTGCAATGCTAGAGGTGCTTTCAATTCCAGTTAAGATATGATCTTTTACCACAGCCCATAGTCATGTATCACTGCTTCTCTCACTACTCTAGGTTTAGTTACTATCATATCACTCTTCTAAGAAGTACTCCACAAGTTAAATACAGAGATGTTGGTACTGCCTCCAGGTCACTCCAACCAGAGGACTAATTCACGTGATCTTCATATAACCTAACATTTTGTGGTATTATATCACATATAATACCTACACTCTATAATCTGGCCTCTTTCTGATAACTTCTTATTCTGTTTTGTACTGCACTTGGACTTTTCACAAAGCTTCACATTTAGTTTAATAGCCTTCATAGATTACAGAAGCAAATTTTATTAAAATTTGACTCTAGCCTAATTCAAACTATTGATCTAGCCTATAGGGCTTTGGGAGCTTAATCGCTAAGCTATAAGACCCAAATCCACAATTATAAGTTATTAATAAAAATAATAAAACTAAATTATACAGTTATATTACGAAATTAGTAAATAGTTTAACTAGACATTAGATTTGGATCAGATATTACTCAGTTTATCCGCAGATAGTCAGATATTCAGATTATAATTATAGCTACCTAGATATATACATCTGAATAATATCTGAATAATACTCAGATAGATATATCCAGATAATAATACTCGAATAGATATACAGTCGGCCCTCTCAGAACCGGTATGCATGGTGGATGGGTTTAGTATCGGAAATGGCAGGTTATCAGTTATTACTTATGGAATGGGTGTCTGGTGGATTGATTTTTAACCGATTTTGGCAGGTTATTGGTTTTGACAGGATCGGTTCTGAGAGGGCCGACTGTACCCGAGTAATATTTGGATAATATATCTAAGATACTAATTTTAACCAAATGTCAATTCTGATTGTTTATTTTTTTTAGCAATTATATAATAAATTTATAAACTGTATTATGTAAATTGTAAAAATAATAAGTATTTAATTTGAAAGATAAGCAATCATAAAAAGAAATTCATATAATAAAGTAGTTCTCAAGAGTAAAATTTACTTTTGATATCTAAATTTACTATTATATTAATATATAGCAATTGTAAATACTAATTATTTTTCAAGTTTAACTAGTTAATTAGTAATTCATGAGTCAGCCAGAGAGTGATTATAGTAAAATATGACTCAGATTACTATATAAATTTACTAAGTGTGAATGTGGCCTGCACAAATCTAAAACTTTTTTTTATACTAAGTTAATCACCTTTCTTGCTTAAGAGATTTTTGTAGAGCCTGTCAAGATGTATCTAATGGTGGTTAGAATATCAAAATTGGCCTGGTGGATGCTGAAATATCTTTAAAAAACCTCTTTTTTACTATATAAACTTTTTTGCAAATTGTTTGCAAAGAAGTTTATATAGAAAAAAAGAGGTTTTTTAAAGATATTTCAGCATCCACCAGGCCAATTTTGATGTTCTAATCACTATTAAATACATCTTGACAGGCTCTACAAAAGTCTCTTAAGCAAAAAAGGTGATTAACTTAGTATAAAAAAAGTTTTAGATTTCATTTGCACTATAGTAAATTTATATAATAATCTGAGTTAAATTTTACTATGATTACTTTTTGGCTAACTTGTGGATTACCAGTTAAAAAAAACTATTTTTAAAATTAGTTTTTGTTAATTGCCAACTCTAACCTATTCTTATATATCTAAATATTTTAACAAAATATAAAAATAATTCATTTTATAGCATTTTTATTAGTTTTTTAACTATTAAAATGTTGAAAGAGCTCTTTTGTTAGTTGTAATAAATACTTTATTTTTTATTTTATTATATTACTTAAAAGTAAATTTTTGTGTAATAGTTTATTAAAAATGTTCAAAAAAACTAAATTAGCTAATAAGTCATATTTAGATTTAATAATTACTTTTTTTAAATTTGAGATATACTTATTATTAATTTTAGCAACTATTTTTTCTTTCTCTATTTAATTTTTTTTATAAGTTTGTAATATTTTATCATCTTCATGTTTATTCTAATTTTTTCTTCTAATTTAATATATGTTTTTATATATATATTTTTTTTTACTTTATTTATTTGCTATAAATGTTTCTATTTTTTTACAGCTTTATTGCTTTCACCAACTTTACTAGTATTATTAATTGATAATTCATAAGTCAACAGAACAAAACATATAGTATAATATGATTCAGATTATTATATAAATTATATATGCCTCAAATACTACAACCATCCAAGGAAACTTTTTTTTTATTAAGCCAATCGACCTTTTGTATTATGAGAAGGTTGTAGAGCTCATTAAGATGCATCTAATAGTGGTTAGATCATCCAAATTAGCCTAGTAGATGTTGAGATATCATTAAAAAACATGTTAACGACTATATAAAATTTTTATATGTTTCTATAGAAATTTTAC